AAAAACTTATCGAACTTATCAAATTCGGCTGATCAATTTTTATCAGTTGTCCCAGAATTTATGAAAACAGCTGTAAAACAACTGTAAAAAAAATAAAATTCCGAAATCAGCATTATTCTAATAGGACCGGACCGTGTGGGTCTGAACCCGTATCGATTCTGATAAATCAAGGGTCCGAACTCGGCCCGTCAAACGTACCGGACCCGGATCTTATGTGCTTTCTCGTGATTGCTGCCCAATCATTTGTAAGATCTCGTGTAACATACTTTTATGTAACGTTAAATATTAGAATTTTCTTTTTCTCATACAGTACTGCTAAATCACTTAAATCTACCATACTCCTCGACAAAAATAATGCAAATTAAAAACAAAGTCGTAATTATAACAGGGGGCGCGAGTGGTATTGGAGCTGCTTTAGCTCGACGGCTCGTTTTAGAAGGGTTTGTCAAAAAAGATAAATACTATTGTTTATTATTCGTTTCATTTGATTTCGTTTTTTTTTTAAAAGAAAAAAATTTTTAAATAATGTAGTGCACAAGTAGTTATTGGTGACATTGACAAAAAATTGGGCCAAGATCTTGTAACTGAATTGAACCAAAAGTATTTAAATTCAAAACTTTTATTTCAACACATCCCAATAATAATATATCATTTTCATATTATACGATCCAGCAATAAAAAGAAAGCAATCTTTGTCTTTTGTGATGTAACAAATTTCGATCATCTACGTCAATTGTTCGATGCTACACAAAATACATTTGGCGGTGTTGATGTAAATACTTTTATTAATCAATTATTTAATTTATTTAATGGACAATTAATTAATAATTTGTTTTTCCTAAAAGATTGTATGCAATAATGCTGGAATTGCGAAAAATGAATTTTTTGATCAAACTGGTTAAGCAGATTATATATTTGGTTTAATGACCATACTTGTATGAACCTTAACTCATATATCTAAGATCTTAGATAGCTGGATAAAGACTATCGATATTAATTTAAATGCTGTAATCAAAGGTACACAATTGGGAATTCGATTTATGAAAAAACGTGGTGGTGGTGTTATTATAAATACAGGTTTGTAAACTACAATATTTGATATCAAAAAAAAAAAAAAAAAAAAAAGACACTTACAAAGTTGATTTATTTTATCTGTAGCTTCGCTTTCTGGATTTTTCCCATCGAAATCACTCCCAATATATAGTACCACAAAATATGGCGTATGTTTAGTATCTTTTTAAACATACAAATTTTCAATCAAATTATGTTGATACTGTATTAATGATTTAGTATTTAATAATATTTTCTAGGTCGTTAATTTTACAAATTCATTACGTGAACTAAATAATACTGATAAAATTCGCGTAAATGCTATTGCTCCTGGATTTGTGGGTAAGTTAAAAAAATATATTGCCACTATTTAATGAATCTATATTTTTATTCTGTTAATTATCAACCTTATTACAAATTTTAATAAAATTTAATAATTAGATACACCTTTGATGCAAAATACGATCAAAATAATGCCTACAATGGTGCGAGCAATTGAGATATTTGGAGGATTTGTTCCTATTGATGAAGTGGTCAACGCTTTTATAACGATCATTCAAGATGATAAATTTGCGGGTAATACTATTGTGATTCCGAAAAAGAATTCTTCACAAGTTATTTCAAAATCATTCTTATAGGTTTAAAGATCAAGTAGTTGGCTTTTAATAATTATTTTACATTTGACTTTATTAATTTTAAAATCTAATTACATGGTGAAATTTTAATGTTTCAATTTTTATTACCTATAAATCGATTTTAAATAATTATAGGATACAAAATTTCGACTTCTTACCCGAGAGTCTTCAAGCTAATGTTAAATGCTTATTCAAAGCAATAAATAGAAAAATGATGTAAAACATTAATAAATTGATAATAATTGTCGCGGCTGATGCTGAAAATTTGACCTATTTTATTATGAAATTTTAAAAAATTTTTGGGCCTTTTTATTAGGGGTTTTTTATAGAGTTAGCTTAGCGTTTAGGGTTAGTGTTTTAGTAAAAAAGTATATATGAATTTTAGCAGGTATTATAGATTTAAATGGGGACCTAGATTCAGCATCAGCCGCGATAATAATTTTATTTATAAAATTATAAGCCTGAACAGTTTAGTTATCCCCCAGTTTCAAATGAAAGTCAGTCTAATTCTGATAGTAAATAGAAATATGTGATAAGTAGTAATGTAAGGCCTGAGACAATATGCAGAATATGCAGAAATAGATAAGTGGGTTGATCTTTAGTATAACTGGGCAATATAGAATTATTATAAGATTATAATATAAATAAATAACTATCTAACCTAATTTAAGCAAATTTGGGAATAGTTAGAGTTAGGGTGAGATTTATAGTTTATATTAAAGTTAGATTAAGGTTAAGGTTAGAGTTTTTTTATATTATAATCTTCTAATATTTATTATTTCCCAGCTATACTAATGAAGATCCGATAAGTATATGAAGTATAGAAATAGATAAGTGTATGAAGTATAGAAGACGTAATACGAGCACTCGGCACAGACAAGATATTTGTTTATAAGATATGAATCCCACAAAGGTCTTTATTCATAAATGAGGCGTAACCTAACCTTCGACCAAGACAGATAGGAAAATTTTATATACATGGACTTGATACCGGGAAAATATCATCACAAAAAATTAATTATCTCTCAACTATATCAGAATTACATGATTTGGTACTATTTGATTCATCTTGATGAGACAAATAAGATGGTACCAAAATCATGTGATTCTGATCGATAGTCGAATGTAATTAATTTTTTGTGATGAATTTTTTTGTCAACTTCATCCCTTTTCTCAGCACCAAGCCCACATGTAGAAAGTTCCGCAGACAAGACGAATGGATTCCCTTTTAAAGACTACCTGGGAAACTATACACAATACAAGCACCACTCACAATCCCTACAAACTCTTTCTTTAATACCGATAGGTCTTTACTTTCCCAAACACTATATCAGTTACGCGACTTCCTCCCCAAATCACAATAACCTCATGACATCCTTTAATCTGTGGTTCATTATTATAGCGCTTTATAAAAGGATGGGACTCCATGATTTTTGTGATGGTGAACGATGAAATTTGAGATTCTAAATTGTCTATTAATGCATATTTTCGATCGGTTATATTTAGTGTCGCGGTGTTTCTTAATGCCCCATGTACTTGTAGCGGTACCCATGTGACTGGTGATCGGGTACGTGATCGAAT